CCAATCGAACACGAGTAGTGGTCAACAAAGTCGGAAGCTGATATAGTGAAAAACTCCGTTCCACAAGGCACAGTACTTGCCCCCATCCTGTTCTTCATCCTCATATCAGACAGACACAGATGTAATCCACAGCACCGTGTCATCCTCTACAGACGATACTAGGATCTGCATAAGATTGTTATCTATTGAGGACACGGTTCACCTCCAAGAAGATATAAACCAAGTTTTCCAATGGCAACGAAAAACAATATAATTTTCAAAGACAGATTCAACTACTCTGTTATGGAAAACTGGAGGAGATAATAATTAGAACCGAGTATACTACAAACCCTGATCATACAGTAGAGCGAAAAAATAATGTGAGGGACCTGGGAGTGGTAATGTCTGAGGATCTCATTTTCAAGGATCACAACAGAGCCACGATCACAGCTGCGAAGAAAATGATAGGATGGATAATGAGAACGTTCAAGACAAGAGATACTAAGCCAATGAGGATCCCTTTTAAATCACTTGTTCTCTCTAGGCTGGAATACTGCTGTACATTAACATCTCCATTCAAAGCAGGTGAAATTGCAGATCTAGACAATGTACAGTGAACCTTTACTGCACGTATAACTTCCATCAAACACCTCGACTACTGGGAACGTAGGCGAGAGAGACGTATCATAATCCACACTTGAAAAATCCTAGAAGAAATGGTCCCTAATATGCGCACGTAACTCATTCCCTATGAAAGCAAAATACCCATAATGAAAAGTAGGGGCGCCATTGATACACAGAGAAAACACAATAGGTGTCCGGGACCCAAGACTGTTCAATAGCCTCCCATGTATAAGGGGAATTACCAATAGACCCCTAGCTGCCTTCAAGAGGGAGCTGGACAGATATTTAAACCTAGTGCCGGATCAGCCAGGCTGTGGTTCCTATACTGAACTGCGTGCAGCCAGCAGTAACAACTTAGTTGATCAAGCCCTGATCCACTGGGAGGCCTGGTCATGGACCGGGTCGCGGGGGCGTTAATCCCCGGAATATCCTTCAGGTAGGTGCTGACGCTTCTCTCGTTCAAAACTTAAAAAATGTCAGAAAATTATGTGTGGTATAAATGACACGCAATAATTTCGAAACTAGTGAGCATTGTGGCGTGAGCAAGTAGGTCTGCTGTGTTCTTGTATTCTTACATATTACTGCACTGTGTGCAAGTCTTGCAACACAAGGAGTAAATGGAAGTACCTGCAGGGATATCGTACAAAATATCCACACGATGGAAACACACTGATGAAGTATAATGCAACCCTATATTGAAAACGTTTAGCTCACATGTCCTAAGACAGTGGTTCCCAAACTTTTTCAGCTTGTTACCCAATTTAACATGCCACATAAAGCATGTTACCCCTTTCACAAAATGTTGTTATTATTGATATATATGGCTAAATTAAAACACTTGAGATATTTTCTTTTATTTATTGTATTTGAACATTGTGCATCTCTAATGACTATTACCAAAGATATCAAGAACATCAGTGGGATGGATGGAGTTGCATACTTGAAGCTAGTTTAGGAATTCTTGGCTTCATACCAGCTTATGTCTACCTCGGCTGATGCTCACAGATAAACTGACAGTGTGAAATAGAGGCAGCCTCAGGAAGTGAGTGACGCGTACTGGACAGGTCGATCTGGGCTACTGAGTGACTTTTGTCCTGAAGCATACTTGTCAAAATACTTTTGGGTTTCCACACACTTAGCATATATTTCTTCTTTTCTAATACTGTATATTAGTTTTGATGTTTATTGTTATTTGGTTTAACTATTATTACTTACTTATAATAGGTTTACTTTACAACTTTATATACTAAGACAAAGTTAACAATAATCCTCATACCGGGTACCGCATTGTTTTCTTGATTTTCAGAATTCATAACTTTTTTTCTGTCACCCCTCTATTTACCCCCCAAAAAGGGTTAAATTACCCTCAGGGGGTAATTTACCCCCAGTTTGGGAACCACTGTGACCTAAGACTTCGGCTGTATCAAGTGACTTGATCAAGTCCCACTGCGTGAGCCAAACGTAGCCATAATAAAGAATCGTATTACACTGGATGTGTGTTTTTTTCCCCATGGGAGTTACTGGCAAGAAACACCAGAGAACATGAAAAGTCAACATCGAGTCTACTGAGAAAAACTGTTTGTCTAGATTAAGAACTATTAAGGACTATCATATATCCTAAGTGTATGAGTGGTGGAGAGGGCTCGGTACTCCGGGAATAATCGCATCCGCTTTGTCCGATCAACCTGTTGGTGATGGCTATTAATAAACTGTAACGCACCGAGTGAAACTCAAGATTCAGCGGTCTTCAACACTAGCCAGATCAGCGAGGCAGAGCGGGATTAAGTCATGGACTTTATGGGCTGCAGCCCAGGGTCCTCCTCCAGCTGGAGGGCCTCCAGGGGCTGCAGCCCAGGGTCCTCCACCAGCTGGAGGGCCTCCAGGGGCTGCAGCCCAGGGTCCTCCACCAGCTGGAGGGCCTCCAGGGGCTGCAGCCCAGGTCCTCCACAGCTGGGGCCTCCAGGGGCTGCAGCCCAGGTCCACCACCAGCTGGAGGGCCTCCAGGGGCTGCAGCCCAGGGTCCTCCACCAGCTGGAGGGCCTCCAGGGGCTGCAGCCCAGGGTCCTCCACCAGCTGGAGGGCCTCCAGGGGCTGCAGCCCAGGGTCCTCCACCAGCTGGAGGGCCTCCAGGGGCTGCAGCCCAGGGTCCTCCACCAGCTGGAGGGCCTCCAGGGGCTGCAGCCCAGGGTCCTCCACCAGCTGGGGGGCCTCCAGGGGCTGCAGCCCAGGGTCCTCCACCAGCTGGAGGGCCTCCATGGGTTGCAGCCCAGGGTCCTCCACCAGCTGGAGGGCCTCCAGAGCTGCAGCCCAGGGTCCTCCACCAGCTGGAGGGCCTCCAGGGGCTGCAGCCCAGGGTCCTCCACCAGCTGGAGGGCCTCCAGGGGCTGCAGCCCAGGGTCCTCCACCAGCTGGAGGGCCTCCAGGGGCTGCAGCCCAGGGTCCTCCACCAGCTGGAGGGCCTCCAGGGGCTGCAGCCCAGGGTCCTCCACCAGCTGGAGGGCCTCCAGGGGCTGCAGCCCAGGGTCCTCCACCAGCTGGAGGGCCTCCAGGGGCTGCAGCCCAGGGTCCTCCACCAGCTGGAGGGCCTCCAGCTCGTTAGTAATTACTGTTATTACTTAATTACTTAAGTAATAATAATCATTGTTACTTATTGCTAATTATTATAGTTAATTATTGTTACTCATTATTATTATTACTACTTATTGTTAGTTATCAACCTGACGAGGAAATTAACCTGAAAACACTGGAAGACGATATATAAAATACTGAGAGAAATCGACAAGGTGGAAAGAGAGAATGTTCCAGAGATGGGACACACAAACAAGGGGACACAGTTGGAAGTTGAAGATTCAGATGAATCACAGGGATGTTAGGAAGTATTTCTTCAGTCACAGAGTTTGTCAGGAAGTGGAATAGTTTGGGAAGTGATGTAGTGCAGGCAGGATCCATACATAGCTTTAAGAAGAGGTATGATAAAGCTCAGGGAGCAGGAAGTGTGACCTAGTAGTGGTCAGTGAAGAGGCGGGGCCAGGAGCTATGAATCGACCCTTGCAACCACAACTAGGTGAGTACACCTATTAGCCTCGGTAAATACAGTTTAAAACCCAACCTTTGTTACGTGTGTTGGAAGACCAGAGACCTGGGGAGAGGGAAGGAGGGAGGGAGGGAAGGAGGGAGGGAGAGGGGATGGGAGGGAGGAGAGAGGGGATGGGAGGGAGGGAGAGGGGATGGGAAGGGAGGAGGGGAGGGGAAGGAAGGTGTATACGTGTATTACATTAATGACCCGTGTCATACAGTGCCTGGGGACTGGGAAGTGTGGCTGGGGGGGGGGGGAAGAATGGTGCCTTGATGTACCATTCTTTAAAGGTTAGATGTTGCAGTTTGGACTGCACCTGCCCAGGCTGTCAGGTGGGGCGTGGAGGGTAACTAACTGCTCGTGCCTCACCGTGAACTGCTCATGCCTTTCACTCAGGGACAGCTCATGCCTCACCAGGGGCTGCTCATGCCTCGCCAGGGGCTGCTCATGCCTCATCAGGGGCTGCTCATGCCTCACCATGGACTGCTCATGCCTCTCACTCAGGGGCTGCTCATGCCTCACCCTTTCTCGTGGGAAAGGCACACTTAACCTGACCAGCGATGACATGAGGGGAGGGGGGCGACGAGGGTGTTGCCTGGGGTTTTTGTGCTCTTGGATTATATTCAGTATCTTGGTTGACCCCACA